GACCTAGGGAGGATTTTATTTGGGGTTTATCTTTTAACAATTCGACAGAGACACAACTTTAAAATTTGATTTAATTCGGTTTTATCGGGGGGGAATGTATTTATGTTTTGTTTTAAATATGTTGTGCGCCGCCCTGAGTCCCGTTGGGAGAAGGGCGGCATATAAATTAAATTTATTATTATTATTATTATTATTAACTGTGGCAAGAAAGGCTGTAAAATGGGGCAAAATTCACTTAATAACTATCTTAGCAACAGAAATTGTGGTCGTAAGCCGAGGACAAGCCTAAAACCCACTTTCCTAGGAGTAATGTGACTGGCTCGGGATCCTTCACTGAGATGAAAGGTTTGTCAGAGAACCCTGCTAGGAATTCAGTGCTGTACAGTTGTACATTCTTCATTCTATTTCTTAAACATTTTAAAATCTGCATTTTTTTCCCCTCTTCAAGGTGAGCAGCAAAGACGAAGATTTTCTAGACCTGTCGGTTGACGTGGAACAAAATACATCAATCACACACTGCTTGAGGTACCCGTTTCAACAAAAACAGAAAAGGCAGCCAGATAAAACAGAAGGATATTTTATTTAATCCCAGGACACTGAAGCCCGAAGCCAACACTAACACATTAAATAGCTTCCTAGAGTGTTATTTATTTTTATTTAACTATGTGTATTCTGCCTTTTATAAGACTTCTAGGCTGAAATAGGGCTTCAATGAGAGTTGTCTGCTTGCTTTGGCCATCGTGCAACTGCAAATCCTTGACTTACTCTGCCATTGTAGACCCAGTTGTTTGATGTGATAATGATGCTGTCAGGCGATCTCACAGGCACAAACCCACACACAATCAATTAGCAGCAGCAATTACTTGATTGGAATGTTATGTTAGCCACAAAAGGGCCCCAATCAATTACAGTCATCAGAAGTGGCTTTTTCTTACTGTTTCTTCTCTGAATCATTTCGGGATGGGGCCTAAAGGAGACAGGGAAAAAACAGAAGAGAGATTAGCGTCAACCATTAAATTGCCTGTTTTGTGGTGCTGGGTGGCATTTGTATTTCCCCACTGCAGACAGAGACATCTTTGACCTGTGGGGGGGCCCTATACAGATGTCCCTGAGAAAATCTGTTCAGTGCTGGAAAACCTGATAATTATAACTTCTGCTCCAATCTTCCATTTTGCAGAGGGTTCAGTAACACCGAGACGCTGTGCAGCGAGTACAAGTACTACTGTGAGCAGTGCCGGAGTAAACAGGAAGCACAAAAGAGGTAGGGCTAAGATGCATTTTTGTTACGTACCTGGGCCCCACCAAGGACTTCGGTTCTTGATCGCCTTAACAGACCCGGCAGGTGGACTCTGCTGAGAAAGAAGTGATGGGCCCTTAATCAACTCTTCACTTTGTAGTTGAAAAGGATCTTCCTGCTGTTGACGATTGAGACCTTTCTAAGGAATTTTTCATGATTAGCCAAGATAGATTATAGAAAGAGGAGAAAAATGATGGAACTTTAGAGAGAGAGAGGTTGAAATACATTTTATTTATAACTGTTATGAAGACGTTCAGAAGCCACTTCGCTATACAGGTGGTCCTCAACTTAACAGCAGTTCATTTAGTGACCGTTCAAAGTTACAACGGCACTGAAAAAAGGGACTTATGACCATTTTTCACACTTAGGACCACTGCAGCATCCCCAGGGTCACGTGATCAAAATTCAGATGCTGGCACAACTGGCTCGTATTTATGACGGTCGCTGCGTCCCGGGGTCACGTGATCCCCTTTTGCGATCTTCTGACCAATGGGGGAAGACAGATTCAGTTAACAACCGGGTTACTAACTTAACAGCTGCAGTGATTCATTTTACAACTGTTGCAAAAAAGTTTGTTAAATGGGGCAAAGCTCACTTAACAAATGTCTCGCTTAACAACAAAAACTTTGGGCTCAATTGTGATTGTAATTCGAGGATTACCTGTGTCTTTTTTTCTATTTTACTTTTCCTTGACGTTTTTCTTACCTTGCAGTTTATGGGGTTTTGTTTTTTTTCCTTCCTTTCTTTTTAAAATAAATTCACATAGCCACCCAACTCACACATAGGCGACTTCTTCCTCACTGTATTAGTTTGTGTTGGTTTTTACCGTCTTGTATCTTTTTGTAATAAAAAGCATATAGAAAAACGAATGAGATATTTGTTACAGCTTATTGAGATGCATTCAAAAGCGTCTGGCCTAATCTCAAAGATGTGAAGAATGGCCAAATGAGTTTCTGCATGAGAAGGAAAAGGGAACTGAATAACTCTTTCCCTGCTCCTCATAATTCTGTTTATTTTTTTGTTTTGCATGATTAACTCTGCAGACCAGTAATTCAGTAATTCTGAGCTGCAGGGGGCCCAGGAGCTTTTCAGAGCCCTGACATCCAGTGGAGCAATAAACTTGTGAATTTCAAGTGTCAAAGGGTGAAATTCATCACACCAAATAAAGAGACAAGCTGAATAATAGTGTAATAAATTCTGTACAGGACCAGATGGTATTTCTTGTAGAATTTGACACTTGCGGGCTTCAAACTTTGAGTTTTCTTGATGCAGTATGGGTGTGCGTGTGTGTATGGGGGGGGGGGAGGGCAAAGGTCCCTAGTTTAGTAGTTAGGCCCCAGACTAGAAATCAAGAGACTCTGAGTTCTAATTCTGCCTTAAGACGTGACAGTTGGCTGGGTGACTCCGGGCCAATCTTTCTAATCCTGTCTTAAGCATAAAAGCCGGCTGAGTGATTTTAGCCAGTCCCTCTCTTAGCCCACCCCACCCCACAAGGTTATTATTGTGGGGAAGATAGGAGGAAGGAGCATTAGGAATGTTTGACACCCCGAATTACTTATAAAAATAATAAAGGCTGGATTTTAAAAATCTAGTTAATAAATAAAGGCATTTTTTTCTGGTTTCTTTGTCAATATTAACCAATTTATAGGCTGTGGTTTGGGCCCAGATAAATAGCTGCCTTGCATTCAATTGTTGCTTAGTGCTCAAATCAACCCACTGCCAGAAGCTGCAAATCTTTCCTGGTTTTTTTTTGGGGGGGGGGTGGCAAACAAAATATCAAGCACTCTTTTATTCACCAAAGTTTTGTTTTGTTTTTTTATTTTAATAAGCTGTGTTGAGCCTGATTTTGTAAGACCTGCTTTTGTTTTTCTTTTCTTTTTCCTTCGATCTTAACCTTGCTCATCAAGGATGCGAGTGAAAAAGCTGCCCATGATTCTCGCTCTGCACTTGAAAAGGTTCAAGTACATGGACCAGCTGCACCGGTACACCAAACTTTCCTACCGCGTGGTCTTTCCCCTGGAGCTTCGACTCTTCAACACATCAGGAGATGCTACGAACCCAGATCGAATGTATGATCTCGTGGCTGTGGTGGTGCATTGCGGCAGGTAAAATGCCTCCCCCAAAATCCTAGGGGATAATCATCAGAGAGAAAATTGGTAACTCAGAGCTGGGGGATCCTCTCTTGAGCTTGGTGGCTTTCTTGCAGATGTTTCACGGCCCAGCTAGGTAACGTCCTCAGTGCTAGGAAAATAGTGGGCTTTGCAGAGCAGAGGGGAAGGAGAGGAGAAGGAGAAGAACGGTGGGCTCCTTGGTGCGCTCTGAGCTTGCTTGTTTTCTTGCAGACATTTCATTGACCAAGCTAGGTAACATCATCAGCGCTAGAAGGGATTGGGGTTTGCAGAGTGGAGGAGGACCGGGAAACCTGTGGAGTCCTTGATGCTCTCCGAGCTTGGTTGGTTACTTGCAGGCGTTTCATTACCCAAACTAGGTCAGGGCTTTTCAACCTTTTCACCCATTGTACCACTTTTAGGATATGGCAACATCCGAGTACTACCAGTCGCCTAGCAAGGGGTCAAAAACTTGATGACCAAAAAAAGGAAAAAAGTGAGAAAGTACAGGTAGTCCTCGACTTACAACAGTTCGCTTAGTGACTGTTCGAAGTTACAATGGCACTGAAAAAAGTGCCCCCCAAGCCACAGCCGAGCAAGACACCTGCCTGCCCGCCCGGCCGCGCTCTTCCTCCTGTCCGAGGTTTTCATCATTGTGAGCATTTCTGTTGAGGATTGGCAGCGGGGGTGGGGTGGGGGGGTGTTTGGTTTTTATTCCCCCCGTCTGCTGGGTGGTTGCAGCAGGTTGTGGTCACTTCACATGACCCTGGGACACTGTGACTGTCATAAATATGAATCAATTGCCAAGCATCTGAATGTAAATCACAAGACCCTGGAGATGCTGCAACATTCCAGCTGATCGGCGCTTCTTCTGGGCTCAGCAGAAGCGCCAGGATCAGTGCTGAGCTCCAGCTGGATCCTGGCGCTGATCCTGGTGCTTCCGCTGAGCCCTGACAGCCCTGCAGCTCCAGCCGTCTCTCGCTCAGGCTTGTGCGGTGCTGCCACCAGTTCAGCTCATTCCCCTCCCCCGCTACCACTTTTCTAGGATGGTCGCGTACCACCTGCCAGGTGCCAATGTACCACAGGTGGTACCCGTACCACTGGTTGAAAAGCCCTGAACTAGGTAATATCATCAGTGCTAGAGGGATTGGGGTTTGTAGAGTGGAGGAGGAGGAGGAGGAGGAGACCTCTGGGGTCCTTGATGCTCTCTGAGCTTGGTTTCATTATCCAACGAGATAACCTCGTCAGTGCTAGGATTAACACTGATAACGTTAGCCTAGTTGGCAGTTGAAACACCAGCAAGAAAACTACCAAGCTCAGAGAGCACCAAATCATAGGTAAGTTACAGCCCCCTGGTGTTTCTTGAGTTGCAGTGAACTTCAGGGAGACTCCCCCAGCCTGAACCAATGCTAGTTTGGGGCTAGCATTCCAATTTTGCGAAGGGGTAGATCAGCTATCAAGATACAAAGGTATGCAATTCCAGACAGGGCTATGGTTTGTCTCTCATCTCTTCCCCCCCCCCTCATTAAGTTCTCCCTTTTGCCTGAGAACCACCTAAGCTAAAATTGTTCTCAATCAGCTGTTGCTCGTCCTTCACAGATCACTTCCATCCCTGAATCTCACTGCCTCTTACAAGATCTTCTACCAGAACCCTCCATTGCAAATCAAAAAGGGAAAGTCCTCTGCCGTTCTGCTCCATTTTTTTTTTCTCCATTTCATTTATTGTCTGGCCTTTGTATAGGCCAGGGGCAGGCAACCTTGGCTCTTTTATGACTCGTGGACTTCAACTCCCAGAATTCCTGAGCCAGCCATGCTGAGGGGAAAGGGAGAGGTTTCCAAGCTGAGCCGTGCTGGCTCAGGAATTCTGGGAGTTGAAGTCCCTGAGTCATAAAAGAGCCAAGGTTGCCTACCCCTGATTATATAGGATGTCAGCCATGCCAAGTCAAGCTGCCTTTTGCAATTGACCGATGGGGATTTTGTCAATGCCGTTGTTATACATGTGCTCCAGATGTTTTGGGATTGCACCCAAGGTGCCTGTCACTATTGGTACAGGTAGGCCTCTTGACTTAACAACAGTTCATTTAATGACCGTTCAAAGGCACAACGGCACCGGGAAAAGTGAGCGATGAGCGCTTTTCGCCCTTATGATCATTTGCCGCATCCCCATAATCAGGGGTAGGCAACCTTGGCTCTTTTATGACTCGTGGACTTCAACTCCCAGAATTCCTGAGCCAGCCACGCTGAGAGGAAAGGGAGAGGTTTCCAAGCTGAGCCAGGCTGGCTCAGGGATTCTGGGAGTTGAAGTCCATGAGTCATAAAAGAGCCAAGGTTGCCTACCCCTGGTATAGGTAATCCTTGACTCAAGACCACAACTGAGTCCAACTTTTCTGTTGTTAAACAAGACAGTTGTTAATTGAGTTTTGCCCCATTTTATGCCTTTTCTTGCCACAATTATTAAGTGAATCACCACAGTTGTTAAGTTAATAACACGGTTGTTAAGTGAATCTGGCTTCCCCATTGACCTTGCTTGTCATAAGGTCACAAAAGATGATCCCGGGACCCGGCAACCGTCATAAATACAGGCCGGTTGCCAAGCGTCTGGATTTTGATCAGGTGACTATGGGGATGCTGTAACAGTCGTAAGTGTGAAAAGTGGTCATAAATCACTTTTTCAGTGTGGTTGTAACCTTGAATGGTCAGTAAATGAACTGTTGTAAATCAAGGATTACCTGTATACCTTGCTCTGGAATGGTATCGGGCTTCCTGCTTGATCAGAGGGTTGGACTAGACTAGAGCAGGGCTTTTCAATCTTTTCACCCATTGTACCACTTTTAGGATATGGCAACATCCGAGTACCACCAGTCGCCTAGCAAGGGGTCAAAAACTTGATGACAAAAAAAAAGGAAAAAAATGATAAGGTACAGGTAGTTCTCGACTTACAACAGTTCGCTTAGTGTCTGTTTGAAGTTACAGTGGCACTGAAAAAAGTGCCCCCCAAACTACAGCCGAGCAAGACACCTGCCTGCCTGCCCGGCGGCACTCTTCCTCCTGTCTGAGGTTTTCATTGTTGTGAGCATTTCTGTTGAGGATTGGCAGCAGGGGTGGGGTGGGGGGGTGTTTGGTTTTTATTCCCCCCGTCTGCTGGGTGGTTGCAGCAGGTTTTGGTCGCTTCACATGACCCTGGGACACTGTGACCGTCATAAATATGAATCAGTTGCCAAGCATCTGAATGTAAATCACAAGACCCTGGAGATGCTGCAACATTCCAGCTGATCGGCACTTCTTCTGGGCTCAGCTGAAGCGCCAGGATCAGCGCCGAGCTCCAGCTGGAGCCTGGCGCTGATCCTGGATCAGTGCTGCTTTCCAGCTGATTGGTGCTTCTTCAGGGCTCAGCAGAAGCGCCAGGATCAGCGCCAAGCTCCAGCTGGAGCCTGGCGCTGATCCTGGCGCTTCCACTGAGCCCTGACAGCCCTGCAGCTCCAGCCGTCTCTCGCTCAGGCTTGTGCGGTGCTGCCACCGGTTCAGCTCATTCCCCTCCCCTCCTACCACTTTTCTAGGATGGTCACGTACCACCTGCCAGGTGCCAATGTACCAGAGGTGGTACCTGTACCACTGGTTGAAAAGCCCTGGACTAGAAGACCTCCAAGGTCCCTTCCGACTCTGTTATTCTGCATCCCTGAGATAGCTTTAGTAGAGAAGGATGATAGGAGTGTGTTTAAGAGTGTTGAGGAGGCCGAAGGTCGCTTATCTGTTCTATGCACACAGGAACCTTTTGCATTTTTCTTCTCCTTGGAAGTATAATTGGTACATGCACATTTTTAAACGTGTATATCAGTTAAATAGATTGATGGAAAATGTTGCTTTATTTATGGGAACCAGATGCAAGATACTTCATCTATTGCAAAGGAAAATTGAAACCAGCTATTCTTGGAACAAAGAGGCACTTAAAGCAGGTTGGCCAAATGATTTAAGGGTTTTCTACAGTAGCACCACTGGGTACCTAAGTTTATTGAATCCATTAATTTTGGCTTTGTGATCAGTGCCTGAGTTTTAAGCCTTCCTAATTAGTTTTTGCAGAAGAGGTACATAGTATAGAATCATTCTTTCTCTCTCAAAGGTTCCATCCCAGCCCTAGACTGAACTCCCACATCACACGGCGCATGATTTGTGTAACCACAGTTTGCTCACCGAACCATGATTGGTGCTGTTCTATCAGTCATGAAAGCCTGGATTTGCACACGACAGCCTAGCACAAGCTGTGAAGCTCTCTGCCCGTACAAACGAGGCTTAGATTGTCACATACACTTTAGGATTAAATTTCAAGATGCAAGTGAGTTCTCTTTAGCATATATTACTTCGGCTGGAGACAAGTCTACTATTCATGGACAGCTTTTGCTTTAATGTATGTTATTTATTCAAGTTGTTACGGCAGCCCTTTTAAATTCACGATTCAGGGTAGCTAACAATGTTTAAACGCAAGGCAAAAAAAAAAATGTGTACCAAACCTGAGGACTATGCAGGCAGTCCTCAACTTACAGCCACAATGGAGCCCCGAATTTCCGTTGCTCAGTGGGACAGTTGTTAAGTGGGTTTTGCCCCATTTGACGACTTTTCTTGCTACAGTTGTTAAGTGAATCACTGCAGTTCAGTTAGTCACACGGTTGTTAAGGAAATTGGCTTCCCCATGGACTTTGCTTGACAGAAGGTCGCAAGAGGTGATCACGTGACGCCGGGATACTGCAACCGTCCTAAATACGAGGCAGTTGCCAAGCGTCTGCATTCTGATCACATGACCATGGAAATGCTGCAACGGTCATAAATGTGCAAACTGGTCATAAGCCACTTTTTTCAGTGCCGTTGTAATTTTGAACCATCACTAAACAAACTGTTGTAAGTCGAGGATTATCTGTAATGAATAGGAATAGAACGGAATGGAATAGAGGAAAGAATAGAATAGAATAGAATAGAATAGAATAGAATAGAATAGAATAGAATCTTTATATGGAATGGAATAGAGGAATGAAGAACAGAACAGAACAGAATAGAATATATAGAATAGAATAAGAATTAGAATAGAATGGAATGGAATGGAATAGAGGAATGAAGAACAACAGAATAGAATCTTTTATAGAATAGAATAGAATCTTTATATAGAATAGAATAGAATAGAATCTTTATATGGAATGGAATGGAATGGAATGGAGGAATGAAGAACAGAACAGAATACAATCTTTATATAAAATAAGAATAAAATAGAATAGAATAGAATAGAATAGAATAGAATAGAATAGAATAAGAATTCTTTATTGGCCAAGTGTGATTGGACACACAAGAAATTTGTCTTTGGTGTAGAAGCTCTCAGTCTACATAAAAGGTATAAGTGATAAATCATGATCATAGTCATTGTAAAAATAAATTCATCATAAATCATAACATACAACATTTAGTGAGTCATGGGATGCTAGATAAGCAATCAGCATAAATCATACTAGGAAACTAAATAAAACAATATAAATCGTAAGATACAAGCAGCAAAGTTATAGTCGTAAGTAGATAAGGAGATGAGTAATAAGAAAGGTGGGAAGAATAATAGCAATACAGCCTTACTAAGTTTAACAGTTTCTCCTATCCAGTGGGCAGCATGGAAGCCACCAGCCTCCTTTACCCAAGCAGAGTGGAACCAGGAGTGGAAAGGCAATAAAGAACACCAACATTCAGTCAAGAATTCCTTGTAGGAAAAAGGACCACGAAGCCAATGCAGAGAGCGGGCCAAAGTTTGGAAAGCTAGATGTGTGTCACGGCCACAAAGTGGCAAGCCACACCCAGAACCAACATTGCTTCCACCACATGATGGTCTGTGACTTCTATGGAGAGAGGGCTGGTTCTTACTATCCCTTAAGGGGGGAGCTTAATCTATTCAAGAGAAAGTCCTGACTCCTGAGTCAATTTTGGAGGTTGAAATATAATTTATTTTTAACTCTTGTGAAGACGTTCAGAGGCCACTTCGCTTTACAGGTAGTCCTCAGCTTACAACAGTTCATTTAGTGACCATTCCAAGTTACAACGGCACCGGAAAAAAAAGTGGCTTATAGCCATTTTTCACACTTACGACCGTTGCAGCATCCCTGCGGTCACATGATCAAAATCCAAACACTTGGCAGCTGGTTCATATTTGTGACAGTCACAGTGTCCTGTAACAGCTTTTGCCACCTTCCGACAAGCAAAGTCAATGGTGACACCAGAAGGGACCTTGGTGGTCTTCTAATCCAACCCCCTGCTCACTTAACGAATATCTCACTTAGCACATAAATTTTGGGCTCAACTGTGATTGTACGTCGAGGATGGCGTGTACTCTTTTCATTGCTTTACCACCTGATGGTGACACCATCTTGGGATTATGGGGAAGCTTCAGGGCCAGAAGCCCGAACGGGAGTGGCTTTTGCCCTTAAGCAAGTGGAGGTGCCTTCACTCTAGTCCTCATCCTCCCTTCCGTCTTGACTAAGACCAGGGATTCATTCCTCAGAAAATCAGCCACAGCTCCCACTGAAATGGATGGGAGCGCTTCCACTTCTGTCAGAGCAGCTTCTGAAGATGAAAAGCCTAGACCAGGGGTAGGCAACCTTGGCTCTTTTATGACCCGTGGACTTCAACTCCCAGAATTCCTGAGCCAACATGGCTCAGCTTGGAAACCTCTCCCTTTCCCCTCAGCATAGCTGGCTCAGGAATTCTGGGAGTTGAAGTCCACGAGTCATAAAAGAGCCAAGGTTGCCTACCCCTGTCCTAGGAGAACCATAGCTGGAGTCCACGTGTCCACACCCGGCATTAACCTTCCCTCTCTCCTTGGTTGCAGTGGTCCAAATCGTGGGCATTACATCACCATCGTGAAGAGCCACGGATTTTGGTTGCTCTTTGATGATGACATCGTAGAGGTAGGTTTGGGTCTCGCTCCAGGGCTTTGTATAATAACTTTGGGTCAAAGCTGTTTTCACTTTGTGCTTTTGTTTCTAAATATAAACTCTTCAACATCAATCACGCAACCACAGTTCCAACCCCAGCCCCAATAAATCAGTACTAATATGCCTTCAAATGACATCAACAAGGCACAGTGCAACAACAAGCCAGTACAGCAGAAGATTCGCGAACTCTGTTCTCCCTACTGAGGTTGGATGAGGAGCTGTAAAATAGAATAGAATAGAGCTGGAAGGGACCTTGGAGGTTTTCTAGTCCAGCCCCCTGCTCAACCAGGAGAACCTATACCGTCTCAGACAGGTGAATGTCCAATCTCTTCTTAAAAATCTCCAGTGATGGAGCGTCCACGATTTCTGGAGGCAAGCTGTTCCACTGGTTAATTGTCCTCACTGTTAGGAAATTTCTCCTTGGTTCTAGATTGCTTCTCTCCTTGATCAGTTTCCATTTGTTGCTTCTTGTCCTGCCTTCTGGTGCTTCGGAAAATAAATTGACCCTCCCCTCTTCTTTGTGGCAGCCCCTCAAATACTGGAACACTGTTATCATGTCACCCCTAGTTCTTCTTTTCTCTAGACTGGCCATACCCAGTTCCTGCAACTGTTCTTCATGTTTTTGTCTCCAGGCCCTTAATCATTGTTGTAAAGACTTACTTTTTTTACGATACACTTTTCGGTTTGCAGCATTCTTGCTTGTAGAAATGGGTGGCGAAATAAAATGAGTTAGCTAAATCACCCTCTCGCTCGGTGCTCTCCCCACCTGGTGGGTCTTTACGGCTTTTCCAGACTCCATAAATTTTAAACGCTTCTCTATTGGAAGCAGCTATATTAGATTGGCCCCCGCCTCGAAAGTCGCAAGCACATAAGCATCCTAAGCTGTTTTGCAGCCTGATTAATTTCTCTTAACTGCTGTGATTAGTGAGTTGGGAAGGAAAACAGGACCACTTTTACTTTTCAGGGCTGAGAGCGAAGGGACAATATTTAATATTTATTTGTTATGTACATGTAGGGGTGTGGGTCTATACCAGTGACGGCGAACCTTTTAGAGACCGAGTGCCCAAACTGCAACCCAAAACCCACTTATGCATCGTCGAGTGCCGGGTGGGCGTGGCCCATTGGGTGGGCGTGGCCCATTGGGTGGGCATGGCTGCAGTGGTAACGGCAGGCTGGGTGGGACTAAAAAGTTCAATCAATCCCAACTTTGCAAGATCTTTTTTTTTCCCGCGAGAAGTTGAAATTGATTGATTGATTGAACTTTTTTTTTTTTTTGCACATGGTGGCGGAGGCCTAAAGCGAAAAGGTTTTATAAAACCCAGCTGAGGGCCTAGGACTGGGGCGACGGCACGCGTGCCCACAGAGAGGGCTGTGCGTGCCGCCTCTGGCACTCGTGCCATAGCTTCGCCACCACTGGTCTATACATATGTTGTACATAGTATGTTTAGGTGTTGTGTCATGTATGTATTTCGCTTGAGAGCGGGCAACTAAATTTCATTTTTGATGTGTGCCGTTGTGCCCACAGTAACAAAAATGACAATAAAGGTTATCTTATCTTATCTTCTCAGGTCTGGAGAAGAAAGTGTGAGTGATTCAGTGTTTCTCTCGGATGAAAGCTAGTAACTTTGAGAGCAGTTTTCAGCGTTTTGAAGCATTAAGTCGGGGCCCCTGCAGATTTTTGAATTTTTATATGCCATGTACAATGTATATAAAAACCTGACAAGAGCTTTGATTGGACTGTGGCGGCCGTCATCTAGATTTTTTTGAACCAAACCCTGTGAATATCCCTGCTATAAATAATGGTAATTTTCAACTTAACAACTAGAAGTAGAATTTCCGTCGCTAAGCGAGATAAGCTATTAATTGAGCCATGCCTGACTTTGCAACTTTTTTTGCTATGGTTGTTAAATCACTGCAGTTGTTAAGTGAATCACACTGTCATTAAGTGAATCCGACTTCCCCCATTGACTTTGCTTGTCGGACTTGGCTGTGTGGGAAGGTCACAATTGGCGATCCTGTGACACACTCACACCCCAAGATGTAAATGCATATCGGTTTCTAAGGTCCCAGATTTTGATCACCGAACTCTGGGGATCCTGCGACTGCTGTAAGGGCGAGGACCAGTTGTAAGTCACTTGGAGGGTTTTTTTGTGATGTTGTAACTTTGATTGTTAAGCAAACGGTTGTAAGTTGAGGATTATCTGCAAAAATCACCTATTGAGAATATGGTTTGAATAGCCAAAGACTGGCGAAAAATGTTGAGTGTGAACTACAACCGTAAGTCTGTAGTCTTATGTAATAGTCCTCGACTTACAACAGCTCATTTAGTGACGGTTCAAAGTTACGGCGGCACTGAAAACAGTGACTTATGACCGTTTTTCACACGTACGACCATTGCTGCATCCCAGGGTCACGTGATCAAAATCCAGACGCTTGGAAATTGGCTCATATTTATGACGGTTTGCAGTGTCCCGGGATCAAGTGATCCCCTTTGGCGACCTGAGACGCAAAGTCAAAGGGGGATTCACTTAACCGGATTCACTTCACCATCCTGCTACTAACTTAACAACTGCGGTGATTCACTTAACAACTATGGCAAAAAAAGTAATAAAATGAAGCAAAACTCCCTTAACAAATGTCTCGCTTAGCAACATAAATTTTGGGATCAGTTGTGGTCATAAGTCAAGGGCTACCTGTACAGGCCACATCTGGATTTCCACCTCTTCTTTTTCTTTTTTTCCCTTTTTTTTTGTATAGATTTTATTAGTTTTTATGGGGTTAGGATTAAGGTTAGGGTTGGGGTTGGGGTTTTTTCAAATAACATTCTCAATATTTAGCAAACAGCATAATGTCTGGGTTCATGTATTTAACAAACAATAATAGATAATAGTTATCATAAACAATATGTTAATTAATCACTAAATAGCCTTCTGGCTAATATATATTCAAAATTACACATCACATTCCTTTCTCTCTAATTCGTCTTTCTAGCCATTGATAGAAATTATCCCATGTTCTAAAGTACACTGAGTCTTCTTTCTCTTTTGTCTTTAAAGTCAATCTATCCATTTCTGCACACTCTAGAATTTTCTTAATTAGTAATTCTTCCGCTGGTAAGTTTTCATTTTTCCAAGGTTGGGCAAATACAATTCTTGCTGCCGTGAGTACGTGTACTATTAAATATCTGCAATCTTTCTCATCCACCTCTTCTTTTTCTGTGGAGTCATATAAATGCATTCAGCCCCACAGACTGCAAGGCCACCTGCCTAAATGTGCACAGAAATCGTTAATAGCAGCAAAGACCAAGTGGGTTGTTTTAATTCATTGATTTGTTACATATTTAATGTATTTTAAATGTATTATATTTAAAGCAGGAGCCTTTTCTTATGTCCATTTGTTTGTCCAGAGATGACAGTGAGGAATCCACTCTCGCTCTCTCTTGCTCTCTGCCTTTCTGGTTGAGAAGAGGTCACATGTGCTGAAACGGTCGTGCACCGTCCCTTACCGTGTGCTGACTGTCTCAGTGGGGGAAGCCAGGGCCACTGACTTGATTGTTGGTTGAATTTCAATGACATGTATAAAACAGAGTTGGAAGGGACCTTGGAGGTCTTCTAGTCCAACCCCCTACTCAAGCAGGAAACCCTATACCATTCCAAACAAGTAGCTGTCCAGTCTTTTTTTAAAAACCTCCATTGATGGAGCACCCACAACTTCTGAAGGCAAGTTGTTAGCAAGTTTCTCCTTAGTTTTAGGTTGCTTCTCTCCTTGATTATTTCCATCCATTGTTTCTTGTCTTGCCTCCTGATGCTTTGGAAGCCCCTCAAGTATTGGAACAATGCTAACATGTCACCCCTAATCCATAGGCAGGAGGAGCCCACAGTGATAGAGACTGGAAAAAAATGCTTACGTGAGGGATCCTTGGTGCTTTTTGACAGTGGTAGTTCTGATGATGTTACCTAGTTTGGGTCATGAAACGTCTGCAAGAAAACGACCAAGCTCAGAGAGCACCAAGGACCCCTCATTTCAACCCTGAGCTACACATATTCTCCTTTATCTGCTTAAAATCAGGGCGTGAAAATGCTAGACCAGAGGAAATAGACAGTGATTCTGATTCTCTCCCTCCATTAACCTCTCCATTGTCTTAAATTGTAGAAAATCGACGCTCAAGCCATTGAAGAATTCTATGGATTGACCTCAGACATTTCCAAAAATTCGGAATCTGGATATATTCTTTTCTATCAATCAAGAGACTGAGATGGCGTGTTTTTGGAACACCTTGTGCAGATCAGAAGGGATCGAGGCTGTGCCCAGAAAGGACAACCGAGGGATGGCAGAACTGATTCCTCCTGGCTATTGTGGGCAATTTTCAGGAAATCAAGGAGTGCGTTTTCTGGAGGAGAACAGTCCGGAGCAAGAATGCATTTCACTTTGATTTTCTTTCTAGGCTATTTTATACTTGCTAACTTCCAAATTTTTTTACCTCTACTTGAAACCTGGCTGCTTAACTCTTCAAGAACCAAGAAAGTGATTTTTAAAGTAACATTGTAAAAATCTGTTCACTGTTTGGTCCTGGCTTAAGACACTTTTTTGGTTTCCGTTATTGCCATTTTTCTGTATTCTAACAGAACGATTTCCCCTCCGGTATTGGCTGAATTCCTGTCCTCTTTTGGGACTCAAGCAGAGGAAAGTTGATGTCAGTTGCAGTTTTGGTAATTCAAAGACTGCAGCCAGCTTAAGTCATCCCGGAAGCTTCGTGGTTTAATTTTTACTTTTTTTTTCTATGGGAAAAGGACATTAGGCATTTCTACAGGATTGAAGATTTTGTTAAAGATGTCCCTTTTATTTCTGATAACACTATTTATTCCACATTTGTTCTGCTTTGTCTCTTTCTTAAAATTTTCCTCGGAAAGTAATTTTTATATGCTTTATAAATCTGTTAATCCTTTGTAAAAAGAAATTTTGACTCAGAACCACAATACTGTAGAAGTCAGAAAAGAAATAGGTGTAAGCGTTGGAGGTCACATCTAGCATATAAACTAAAAAAAACAGTTTCTTGGAACTATTCTCTAAGCCAAAAGTGCCCTCTGCTGAAACAGGATCTGTTAAGGGTTCAGTTTTGCATGTAAGAAGCAATTCTCGGCGTGGATTGACGTGCTGTAAATGGACATCACAGCTCTAAACTCTTAAGGTTTAAATAATAATCATGATTTTGGCCTTGGAAAAACAATTCAGGGGAGGGTTAAGGACTTAAACTAAGGTCCATCAATGCCTTGAAAAAAGTTCCTCTTAACTTCATCTCCCCCTGCTCTCCACCTATCATTTATGCTGGTGCTGTTGCTGCTTCGACAGAGAAAAAAATAAGGCAGTATTAGGAAGGACTAAACCACAGTTAGCGTCTGTTTTCCAACGTTACGTATTATAACTCTAAGCCTTTTTAAGAGGGGAACAACGTGCAATGGAGAAGACTCTGCCAGAATTATTGCGGCTCATAAGAACCTTAAATTGGGCTGTGACCTAAAAACCAGTTTGGGCTGTGGGAACCACTGGTGCCTCTCCCTCTTTACAACGGCTTCCCAGAATTCCACTCAAGGAGGCGTGGTGCCCAAGCACTCTCACCATGAACGGGAGCTGATCCCAGCAGCCCTTGATGCACCTCGATGAATGCATAGAGTCCTTCGTTGGTCCACACGAATGATAACAATGGGCTTCCAGTTTGGGAGAACTTTGAAATTGTCTCTGCTTGTCCCAAAGCTTTCCTCAATCACGTTCTGCCGAGAACTGCCCAGAAGAGAATCGACTCAGAAAATTGCAAAAGCTGAACTCCCATCTGGGATTCGAAGGTCAGGCAAAGTACTACTTCCAAAAGGTTTGCCTGGCTTGTGCCGGCAACAAAAAGCTGATATGGGTCCATATCTGTTGGTTGAACTTTTCCACTGGAAAGCTTTCCCTTGCATTGCACAGATGGGCAAGGGGGTCCATCTCTGCAGCAGCACCCAAGCTTTACAGACAATGTCCAAGAAGAAGAAGGGAGACTCGCCGGCATCTGCCTTAGCCCACTTCGGAGCATCAGAGGTTCTATCTACAGGTTTCCATGGAGCCTGGGAGAAGCTGGAACTCTCTTTCCAAGAGCAGAAGACCCTCAGTGAGGATACCAAGCTAAGCACCCTGGGACCCCCAGAGAGTTTATAAGATTGCAGCCATTGTCTTACAGTAGCTGCTTTCTTTTGGTTAGCAGTAACATTCCATTAGTGGCACATAACGTCACGTGTATGTCTTTGAATAATTCAGTTTTCAAGAGTCTTCACTACTTCAGGCAGGCAACTGGTGTGGATACGTTCAGTCCAATATACCAGAGTCCTATTTTATTCAGAGGTTGTCATCTCTTAACACAACTAGTTGGCAGTTAAGAGTTATTTATGCATTAGGTATGAACTTTTGGGTAGAAATCTTCTCCAAGCAAAACCACAGAAGGATCTTAATCCACTTCACCCTGAAGCCCCATCTTTGGTGGGTGGAGCCGATAGGTCCATAGGCAAAGCCCCCCCCCCCCCAAATCGGAAGGCAAGTGCCACCACCCAGCATAGGAGAATGCTAAGCTTGTATTTTGTATATTTGGTGACAATGTTTTTACGAATAATACCCGACTTGAAAGAGGGAGAGAATATTGAAAAAATATATATGTTATAGATTAAAAGTGCACTTTTGCTATAGATTTATAAGGGGATTCAATTGGAAGAGAATGGTGTGATGTGACTTCTGTATAATAAATGACCCTCTGATAACGCCAATAAAGGTCGCGTATGGTGAAATGTCTCAGTCGTATGTGTGTGTGTGGTACTTTTTAAATGTCACTGAAATGCCACATAAAGACATCTGGGTACATTTTTAAATCTTGCTTTTCCCCAGCACTCTCAAAGGAACAGTTCCAGACATTGTGTTAGGATGTGGCTTCCTGAACAAACTCCAATTTTATGAGTTCACGTATCACCTGAGGGTGTTCAGCCAAAATGGAGCCCAGGCCACATGAGTTACGTCGTTGTGTAGCATGATATAAATTTGAATTCTGTCACTTACTTCCAATTTAAAGTCCTTGACTTCTGGGCACAACTGAGCCCACAATTTCTATTGTTAAGTGAAACATTTGCTAACTGAATTTTGCTCCATTTTACGATCTTGTCACAGTTGCAGCAAGTGATTCACTGCAGATGTTAAGTCAGTAACACGGTTGTTAAGTGAATCTGGCTTCCCCTTTTGACTTTGCTCATCAGAAGGTTCCAAAAGGGGATCACTGACCCCGGGACTACTGCAACCGTCATAAATACAAGTCAGTTGCTAAAAGTCTGAATTTGAATCGGTGATCGTGGGGATGCTGCAACGGTTGCTAAGTGTAAGAAACTGTCACAAGTCACTTTTTCCCGTTGTTGTAACGTTGTTGTTGCGAAGTGGTGTCCGACCCATCGTGACCCCATGGACAACGTTCCTCCAGGCCTTCCTGTCCTCTACCATCTTCTGGAGTCCATTGAAGCTCACGCCTACTGCTTCAGTGACTCCATCCAGCCACCTCATTCTCTGTGTCCCCTTCTTCTCTTGCCCTCCATCTTTCCCAGCATCAGGCTCTTCTCCAGTGAGTCCTTCCTTCTCATTAGGTGGCCAAAGTATTTGAGTTTCAACTTCAGGATCTGGCCTTCTAAAGAGCAGTCGGGGTTGATCTCCTCTAGGACTGACCGGTTTGATCACCTTGCAGTCCGAGGGACTCGCAGGAGTCTTCTCCAGCACCAGAGTTTAAAGGCCTCAATTCTTTGGCGCTCAGCCTTTCTTATGGTCCAACTTTCACAGCCATTGAACTGTTGTAAGTTGAGGACTGTCTACAATGTCCAAATCTCTCAGGGATGTGGATTTTTCTAAGAGGTGTACCTGAGGCAACTAGCAAGCAATAGAAGCCGGCCTCGGCCTCCATGTGTTTAGCTCTTTTTGTTCTACTATGGAAAAGATGGGTTTCTGTTTATTTCCTCTGCATAAATGCGGATGAAGTCTGCTTGGACGGCAGATTTCATTTGCATTTATGCGATTCTAATGGGAATGTTAGCTTGCCTTGCTGATCCGCTTCAATAATTAGCATTCGTAGCGTGCTGCAGATGTCCTTAATAATCCTTAGATGTGCCCCAAATCTTGGGTTAACAAATCCCAGGATGTACTGTGCAACCCATGTTGGCCAACACGTTTTGAAGGCATGGCTTGTTATGCCCAGATTTCCTTGGCTCCCTTCTGAAATACGGGGGAAAGTTCTGTTGATGCACATCTGGATCCCAGTTTAAACAGGCAGGAGTTGGAAGCTGTCACTCAAAACATGACCTCTTGTAGGTGACAGCCTTTAGGCCAGGGATCTGCAACCTTGACAACATTTTAAGACTTGTGGACTTCAGCTCCCAGAATTCCTCAGCCAGCATAGCTGGCTGAGGAATTCTGGGAGCTGAAGTCCACAAGTCTTAAAAGTTGTCAAGGTTGCAGACCCCTGCTTTAGGCTAAAGGGAGACGCAGAAGTGTCTGTTTAACGTTGGACTGAAGCTTGCATGATCAGAGTCACATCTGGATGGGCGTGAGAAGTACGATGGTGCCAAGTGTTTGTTTTTGGTGACGTGACAGGCTACTAGAAGAGACATTTCCCCATCTACTCTTCTAGAACATAGAATAGGGTTGGAAGAGACCTCAGAGGTCTTCTAGTCCAACCCTTGCTCAAGCTAGAGACAAAGGTCTGTTCAATCTCTTCTTAAAACGCTCCAGTGATGGAGCACCCACAACTCCAGGCGTCAAGCTGTTCCATTAATTGTTCTCACTATCAGAAAATTTCTCCTTCTAGGTTGGATCCCTCTTTAACAACCTTCCATCTTTTACTCCTTGTCCTGCCCTCTGTGCTTTAATGCCCCTGAGATCGTCTACTGTCCTAATTTATCACTGTCTTCTTTTGGACTTTACAAACAAGCTTGGACAGTCACTTGCCTTTTCTGAAAACAAACAAAAAAAACCTTGCAAGCTGATGTGAGATCCAGAGGCATTGTCTCAAATCAAGATGTCTTTGTAGACAAGACATTTTGCGATACATTCCCATCTATGGAATTGAAGAAGATTGACGGGCACATTGACCGCTATGCATATTATGGAACTTCTTTAGGCTGCTTTGTTACTCTTTGTGTTAACCTTTTTTAATGCAACACCTACGCCAGCCTAGGCTGATCATGTAAAATGCTACATTCTCATTAGCACGGGAGCAGAAAACCCACCAGAAATTGTAGTCCTGTAATATATCTGTGGAAGTTGGACCATAAGAAAGGCTGAGCGCCAAAGAATTGAGGCCTTGGAACTACGGTGCTGGAGAAGACTCCTGCGAGTCCCCTGGACTGCAAGGCGATCAAAGCAGTCAGTCCTAGAGGAGATCAACCCCGACTGCTCTTTAGAAGGCCAGATCCTGAAGCTGAAACTCAAGTACTTTGGCCACCTAATGAGAAGGAAGGACTCACTGGAGAAGGGCCTAATGCTGGGAAAGATGGAGGGCAAGAGAAGAAGGGGATGACAGAGAAGGAGATGGCTAGATGGAGTCACTGAAGCAGTAGGCGTGAGCTTCAATGGACTCCAGAAGATGGTAGAGGACAGGAAGGCCTGGAGGAACGTTGTCCATGGGGTCGCGATGGGTCGGACACGACTTCGCAACTAACAACAACAAGATATCTGGAGAGCTAGTTTGGTGTTGTGGAGGCACCAAACCAGAAAA